GAAGATAAAGGCTCCCATCGAACTTCTACTATCCGAAGACGATTGTAAGAGGACGAGTAAGTTCATAATATTATTACCGTTTTATGTTGGTGTTCAAATTATGCATAATACATTTATTACAGTTAGAATATACCTATTTATCTTATATTATTTAAATAAGAATTTTCAAAGTTTATGTAAGCATTAGTATTATTTTTTAGTGAAATTATAAAACGCTTAATATATCTTATTTATATACACTTTTTCAATGTAAAGTGATTTGAAATTGAATATTTATTAATTCATGATTGTACTTATAAAATTCACATTTTTCTAATTATTTAAATATAATTATATAATTATGATACAGCTATGCAACAACCAAATATACCAGTGATTAAAACAATACCTGAAAATGTTTGGGAATTAGACACAGAAGTTGACATCATTTTATTTATCGACATGGACATCGTGTACCTGGATAATTGGGAAGACGAAGTGGTGGAACGTGTCAACGACCGTTATCCTTTCAAAGATAGGTATTAAAAAAAAATATATATATTAATTAACTGGGATGATTTAATTCAAATATACTGCAGTCTGCAGTCAACAACCTTACCTATATAAAGATAGTGAAGCCGTTTTAGTGTTTTTTAATAAAGCATTTTGTGACGGTTTATTATAAATGTATTTAAATACGCAATAGCTGATAGGTTATATTATATTATATTATATTATATTATATATTGTAATATGATCGATTACATTGTCGAATACTACAAAGATAATATGTTGACATATTTTAATGGATACTAATGGTTTTTAAGAAGTTCAACGCAGACAATTTTTAAAATACTTATGTGTGTGTAGTAATTTTGAATTCATAATATTATAAATCATTACCTACTATATGTATATACCTATTGTGTGATTGTAGGGAAAAATAAATAGAGGTGTGCTCTCACATAAGCAAGCATAATATAATATAATGTCAATAGCGCGTTACACGATTATGAATTGAGTGTTTTTTTTTATAAAGGAATTAATCTTTCGAAAATAATTGTATTACTATTGACTAACCTATTTAACCAAAAACATTTTTTAATATAATTTGAAGATACATTTTATACATTTTTAAATTAATATTTAAATTAATATTTTTATACTATTTAAACATCTAATTTTGCAGTGCTTACTGCTTAATAGAGTTCATTATAAAAAAAGTGGGGAAACTGTTTTAAAGTTAATTTCGTGACAAATTCAAATATATTTTTAGAAGTGTCGTTTTATTAACATGTGTATACATAGACTTAAGCAGTTAAACTATATTACTTATTAGGTTAGTATGATTGTCATATAAGATAATATATAATATATAATATCATAATATTGGTCTATATTACAAGAAAACGCCACCATATAATCCTTCAATACCTATTTGAAAAATATATTTTTGATATTTAACTATTATTAGTATCCTATTATATTATAGTATTACGATTACCTCCTATTAACTTCTAAAAAAAATGTATTATTATTATTGCACAATAATGGCTAAAAACTTTTCGGAATTTATAAATTTAAATTTAATATGATACGTAATGCGTTATTCCCTCTAATAGTCTAATTTGAATCACAAAAATGTTTTAAAAATCATTATTTTATAATCTCAAGATCTATCAGAACACGCCAGATGAGTTATTATATTTTAATACGTCTAATCAATATTTTTATTTCACACGAGAAATACCAAATTCATATTTTTATTCAAATTTCTTGAAAAAACTTCATAAAACCCGTGCGAGGAACATCATGTTTTAAACTCAAAACAAATATATTACATTTTAGATAATATTATATAATGACATTGTCGTGAAATAATTATAATTAATGTTAAATACTCGTTGTAGTTCACTACAGCTATCTATATAACATATAATTATTATTTTTATCATACTTACCTTGTTCTTTGTAGGTTGTTGGAAGACATACAGATCATGCCCATAGGCTCGGGCACCGTGCAGATATATCGACAAAACGGCGTTTCGATATTTTGCGTATTCTTCAGCAACCGCATGACCACCCTCAGCGACTGGATGGAAGACGCGCTGATCAACATTAAAAAATTGTTGGCGGGTCACATACAGTTGGCCATCCAACAGGACCTGTCCCTCTCGGAGTTTCAGTCGAATGTTTACAGTAATCTGTTTTATTTTTTTCAATCAGTGTTCCCATACGACACGGTTATGATATGGTTTTGTGGCAGTTTTGATGTGTAGTTCTCGTGAGTGAAAAGCGAGAAATCAATTATGGACCATCTCGTGATTTTCAAACGTATCTTTGATAATTTTAGAATCCAATATTTGAATCATCTTTTTTTGTTATCATTTTATATAACGTACGCAATTTTTTTTTATGTTTGTACCTGATTAAAATAATATGTATTAAAGTTTATTTATATAAATGTATTAACAGGCCTTTATTATTATATTAATATGCACATTTATGTACCTATTTATAATTGCCATTTCTAACATTGTTTACCTAGCTGTAGTAATTTATTCCAATCTGAAATTTCACTGTACGAATTTTATGTAAAACCTTTTTTTCTATAATATTTTGTTTGTAAACAATTGTTGAGTTATTAAATAAATATGTAAAATATAATATAAAAATATTTAAATAATATTATGTAAACATTATTTTGCAATATCAATTTAAGCCATCCAAAAAATTATTATTGTTATTAGTTGGAAATAAAAAAATAAAATTGGTGATTTCGAGCGTTTCGGCCGTTGGTTGATGACAAGCCGATTAACTATCACTGTAATAATCGGTAAAATGTCCTCTGAATCCCTCACACGCAATAACAGTTCAACAATGCATTTTCTATAAATATGATAAGTATAGTAAAATAAATATATAGATACGTCGACGATACAGCCGCGTGTAAGCGATTCCAATTCCCTTCGCTATTTTGTATAATATGGGACTATTACACAATTAATAGTATAAAAATAATTGGATTGAAATTAGTACATGGAGACTTATAAGGTGGTGGTGCTGACGTATAAGCGATTTTCAAAAGCGTTATATGACTCAACCATTTATGATTTTAATTGACGTCATTTTATTTATTTTACTCGTTTTGTCGGTACGACACTGCACCACTGCAGCCTGCAGGGACTGTCATCGACCAGTAAAACTCGGCTCTTATAATCTTAGTTTATTAATATTTAAAATCAAGTTAAATTATTTAAATCTTTAATATTAATATTTTAAATTATAGCAATAGCATGATGATAGATGAGTGATAATGGTATTATGAATAATAATTTTACCATACGTGAGTGTGGTAAAGAAGAAAAAATCTTATATAATTTTTGTAAAGTAAAAACCATAAGATAAATGACTGCTTACACTATTAATGATTCCACGCTACCTACTTATAGACTATATAGAGCTTGCTTTTTGGAGTTACTTATGAGATCATAAAATGACTATTGCATATTCGCATAGAACTTAAAACTTAAAATCCTGAATTTGCACATAAGGTCGTAGTACTTACTTGGAACTATAATGATTAACTTATATATGAACATCATAATATATCTATAWATGAATAATGAATATGAACCGTATACGATTTTGTTTGCTTCATGTGTTCTTACAATCCGATCACTGCGACAACGACGAGTAGGTCCTTTTCTCAAAATTTGATATTGGAAAGCGTAATTGTAGATTTAGTACAAAAAACAAATAAAAAAAACATAACAAATATTTACTTGAATGTAAAATTAATTCACTTTACGTAATTAAAAATACATAAATAATAAGGTACAACATATCTATTAATAAAAATTTATAGGTAATAATCGTTAAATCATGTTGTTAATTTCTCTTCTAAATTACTATATAAAAATTTTATTTTCATCAAGAATTGCAAATTAAAAAGTCTTACCTACTACGAATTTGTAGATTCTAGTTTTGAAATAGGCAAATAGACGATTTTCAGTAAATTCACTCGTATACTAGATGCATGTATAGTCTAAATATTAGCCAAAAGAACATACTTTCTTAATGCATAATTAAACTGTTTTGCAAATTCTGCCAAAGTATTAATATATACATATATATATATATATATTAGGTATATATAAATAATTCAAATACTTCAAATATAGAAATATATTATATAATTTGTGTTTATATGTTTATAGTAAAAACACACATCGTTAGACCTGCGATCACCATCACCTCTCTGTTTAGAATCTATACATTCAACCATACTGTGCATAAAAGTATAAGAATGTACTCACCGCACTCATCTAATAACATGGTCAATGTATTATAAATTATAATATGTAAATTCCCTAAATACCTTCCTATATGTATTATTTTAATAATGAATAGCTACAAGTATACCTACATGCAAGTATGAAGTAGGAATCATCAATTACAATAACAGTCAAAACCAGCCTGGTGACTCCTACTCCAAGTAAATTTATGGTATTATACAGTTGACAGTATATTAAAGACTAGCTGGGCCCTGTGCACTTCGTAGTCTGTTAAAAATATCAACTCTATATGATTCAACATTTTTGTTTAATTCATATTTTAATACCCGGCTAGTTCATGTTCAAACAAGTTCCCGTGGGTTTACCCATTTTCATCTTACAAATTACACGACTAAAATTATACCTGTTCGATCATAATATTTTATTGAATTTTTAACTAATCTGTAGACTTACTAATAATGTTATATAGCCCATAGCCTTTATCGATAAGTGGGAAATCCGACAAAAAAATAATTTTTAAATTCGAACCACTAGTAGCTGAGATAAGCGCGTTCAAATTTTTTTAACTCTTCAGCTTTACAATATTAAAGTATAGATATCCATTACCCATGCCTATTAAACTACAATCGTGTAAAATGTACAACAATTTAGTCACCACTTGTACGCAGATAGCACAACGGGCATTCGTTTTTTATCGATAGTGATAGTAGGTACCTATGTAACTACTTTCTATTTTTCGTTTTTATCGCTGAGACGTTGTACGCATAACTATATAATATTATTATTGTAACACACGTTATTAAACGTACATCGAAATAAAACTCAATAACAATTACATTAAATTTCTAAATAATATTCATGTTGTAAAAAAAATTCATACCATACGTTTTCGCACGCCGCGTCATGACAACTTATAAATTGACGTACTTCAACCTAACGGCTCGGGCCGAACAGATCCGATTCCTCTTATCGTATCTAAACGTCGATTTTGAAGACTTTCGATTCGAATTCGAACAATGGCCAGCGATAAAACCTAGTAAGTAATTATTAGTTTAATATAATATAGATAGTCCGATCAATGGCGAGCCTAGCAAAAATTCGTGAGTTTGACACTTCTGGGCAGAAAGTTTCGTCAAGGGCATTGATTTTTCAAAAAAAAAAAAAAATGTTATACCTAATACCTATATGTCTTACACTCTTTTATTTATAGGCATAAAGTTAGGTACTGTAACTGTAGGGACCATATTACGTAGGTGTTATATAAATATCTGTATTATGTAATACAATCGATTTTCGGCGTGATGTTATAATGTCAGATAATTGTTTTTCATTTTTAAGCCATGCCGTTTGGAAAAGTGCCAGTGTTGGAAATCGACGGAAAAACATTTAATCAGTCCATAGCTATTTGTCGATATTTGGCGAAAAAAGCCGGCTTGGCTGGTAACGACGAATGGGAATCGTTATTGGTAGACATTGCTGTTGATAATATTTATGAAATAAGACAAGGTTAGTATAATACTATAATATTATTACCTTAAACGATCAAAAACAGTTTTATCTTATGATAATTTTATTTATTATTAACTTACTAACATAAATGTTGATTAACTGACTACTGATTATAGCTAATAGCTTGTGCATGTATAAAATAACTTTTGTTTTTAATTATATTTAATTTTTTGTAACACATGTAATATATATACATATTATTATTTATAGAATACATTATATATATAATATAT